CTGTAATTTGCTCCAACACCGGAAGAGTTTCTTACTATTCAAAGACTTGGATTTCTGGATCAGAACCCCCAGTCCCTTTCTCCCCTTTCTCCTTTGTGCCTTAAGATACAGCCCAGAATTGCTCCGAGTCAGCAACAGGAGTCCTGGGAGTGGACCTTGCACCTGGGTCTGGACTGTGCTACTTACTGTCCTCACTGTTAGTGTCTCAGTTCTCCTGGGCTCTGCAAGACCCTGCTGTGGGGCTTAGAATTTCCACCCTTATCCCAGGCAACTTCCTCCTGCACATCTCACCTTTGGCAAGGGACTTGGGCTTGGGGAACACCCAGTCAGTCATGGTCCAGCTTGGAGAACCTGCAAAGTCACCAAATGAGAGAGCTAGCAGCACAGAGCTGAAAACTGGGGGCCAGAGAGGAAAAGTGACTTGCCCACATGTACCTGCCCTCTCCTTGTGCTGTCAACAACTTCAGCCTGCAATGAAATTTTCATTTCTGAAGGGAAGCACGGCCTCTCTCCCTGGGTGCCTACTATGCCTTCCTCTTTAGTCCACCAGCACCCACTTTGTCACTTTGTTCCTCCCCATTCCCTCCAACACTTTAGCCAGAGGAATTTTCTTTCTTTCTTTCTTTCTTTCTTTCTTTCTTTCTTTCTTTCTTTCTTTCTTTCTTTCTTTCTTTCTTTCTTTCTTTCTTTCTTTCTTTCTTTCTTTCTTTCTTGAGACAGGGTTTCCCCATGTTACCCAGGGTGTTACCCTGGACTCAAGCAATCTGCCCGCCTCAGCCTCCCAAAGTGCTGGGATTATAGACGTGAGCCACTACACCTGGCTAGGAATCTTTTAAAAACACAAATCTGATTATGTCATGCTCCTCTGCCTAAAAACATGCTATGGCTTTCCACTGTGGCCTCTGAGCCCTGTTGTCTGGCCCCTATTTCTTCCTTCAGGCTCAGTCACACTCTCCTAGTTGTGTGCTGAAACTGGCTCCTCCAAGCTCACAAGAGCCAATGGGAAATATTCAGGAATTTGTTGGTAGCTGGAAATCGACCACGGTGGGGTTACTTTACACCAGAAAAATCAACAAATGCTAAAAATCCTTTTTTTTTTTTTTTTCCTCTGGAGAGCTGATTGGTCAGTCCACCGCTGCTCCGTCCCCACTATGCTGTTCCATCACAGGACCGCTGAACATGCTGTTGTTCTGCCTGACATGCTCTCTCCTCCTTCTTTGTTGAGTTAACTCTATTCTTTGACACCTCAGTTCAATTCTCACTTCTTCCAGGAAGCCTTCTGTGATATTTCTGAACAAGTCAAGTCTCTACCCTTCACCTTTTCTTCTTAGCCTATATCACATTTGTAATTTGACAAGTGTGATGAATGATGAGCATCCGTCTTCCCCATGGGAATGTAAACTCTCCATGGCAAGAAAGACCAGGCCTGGTTTTACTCACTCTCTTTGCTGTATCACCCGGCACAGTACCTGGACATAGAAACTCACAACATCTGCTGAATGAGTGAATAAATTAGAGAAATAAGTACTAGACAAGGCTCTGGCTTCTGTGGCAGGAGTACTTTTGATCACAAATCTCCACATTCTCCTCTGCATTTCCCAGCCGCTCTTGCTGTTATGTTTGTCCTGTTACCAAATTCTGGCTGGTGGAATGGGGTGCTCTGTGTCGTTCATTTCCAGGCATGTCCTCTAGAATGCCACAAGTAGTCCTCAAGGCTCTTTCTCTTCCCTGCATGGCTGGAAGTGAAGGAGTCACAAGACAGAAGCAGCCCGGATTCCCGAGTCACCAGTTGGAGAAGAACTACCCAAATGAGTCATCTGACCCTCATTCAATCGAGAAAAGAGGGAGATGTATACTTTTATTGAGCTAATCTCTGAGATTTTGAGTTATTTGTTACTGCAGCAGAATCTAGTTTAACCTGACCTAAAACACCATCCCGGTTGTCATTAACTCCCACCCTTTGGGCAAGTCACAATGTCTCTGAATCTCAGTTTCCTTATTGTAAAATAAAAGGATTCCACAGGTTATATCTGAAAGACTTGCAATGTTAAAATTCAGTTATTCTGCTGGTATATTTTTCTCCCTCCTGCATGGCACCATATATAGACACTACAGATGTTTGCTAAATAAGAGAACCTCCTATGTTTGAAATCCTTTTCTCCAGATAAAAGCATTTTAGTACCTTAGAAATTCAGAGTAATTACTCAGAATATTTAAACATCTAACATGTACAATATTGATCAAAATAACAATGGGACATTTCATCCAGAGGCTGGGGAGCCTTCAGAGATCTATCCCTCAGCCTCGTAGATACCTCCTAAGCATCTTGCTCTGTCTGCTGTTAGAAATGTGGCCTCAGCACTTCCAATTATTTGCGAGTTCCAGCCTCAGACTGTCTTAACTGATCCACTCTGCTGACTCTGTTAACTGCATTTCCCAATATGCATACTCTCATTTTTCAAAGGAACCTAGTGAGGCCTTTTTTAGTGGATTGTCATTAAAAGCCACTGTCTGCATATCATTAACCAAGAAGCAAACGTCATATCTTTGATGAGATGTATGAGGGTGACTGGTTGGGTAGCAAAGGTAGCCCAGAGTCCTGATGACTCAACTGGGCTTCAAATCCCCTAGGGTCTATTCTTAGCTCTGCCATAGGTTCATTGTGTGTGAAAGAGGCACAAGGCAAGCTCTTCTTCTTGGGCTGGGGTCCCTCTTCCTGTTATAAATGAAGGCTACTGCAGCTGCTGTCATCCCAGTAACCATAGTAACAATGCATCACATGACAGGTGTCTGATCCCCATCAGACATTTTCTGATATTAAGTATTCTTCATTCTTCCCCTTTAACCCCACCCCAGATCCTGTTATGAGTAGTGGCAGCCGTTTGAGCATGGGAGACCTGGAGCTGACAGCATTAATTAAACCTCTATTTCCACAAAGCATTTTGCATTGCCAGGCCCCAGAGCCAAGAAAACCTCCCAGGGCAGCTCTTATGTGAGAGATTGCTAAGGCTGTCACCAGGGACTGCAGTGCTTCAGCTCTACAGTTTGCAGCAAATAGGGATCAGTAGGAAAATGTGCCTGGCATACAGCAGGCACACAATAAATACTTGTGGAAAAGTCAGTTTACTAAAATGGAGTTCATATCACAAACGGGATTCCTTCAAATCACTGGAAATTCTGCATAAGATGATCATATGAATTATTCCATAGTTACTGAGTGCCTGCTGTATGCACCCATGGGTGATGACATGGAGACTCTAAAGATGCTAGCTTGTTGAAGGAATCCCAAGTCTGTGGGGTGGCTGAGGCTCAGGGGCACATTGGGAAGCGTGTAGAGAGGAGTCTGGAGGGCTTAGCAGGGACCACATCGCAAAGGGATTTGGATAAAGGTTGAGTCTCTTGGGTTTATTCTTGGAGAACCTTTGAGAGCTGTTACTCGTGTGAGTGACATGATCAGCTTTGTATTTTGGACACCTCCCTTTTGATGTCACTGAAGGCAAGAACTAGAGGGAGACTATTGTTTTGATCAAATAGTGAGTGTTCTAGAACTTCTGAACCCAGGCCTTAAGACAACTGGCAGCTTCTGTTTCATTCCTCTTAGAACCCAGCTAGCATGCTGTGAGCAGCTGCAGCACCATGGAGAGGTGACATAGAGGAGAACCAAAATGCACCAGTTGACAGCCCCATTGTGATCCCAGTGGCAGCCAGCACCTACTGCTCACCACAGGAGTTCACCATTGCACTATCTGCAATAGTGTCTGGAGAGCTGATGTTCCAGTCCAACTGAACCCCTAGATGACTGCAGTCCCAGAAGATAACATGTTGAGCAGGAAAACCACCCAACTGAGCCCAGCCAACCCATGAAATCATGACAAGTAACGAAGTAACTGGTCTAAGCCAGTAAGTCATGAGTGGATTTTTATGCATGTGTAGATGGCTGAAAAACTGGAGGATGGGTGGGTTCCCAGGTGGTGGTCACAGCTACAGCTCAGAAGAAAAGGTCTGGCTGGAGAGGCTATAGATTTAGGAGACATTGGCTCATAGAATGTGAAAGCTCTATTGTGGATGAAATCACCTACAACCCTTTTCACACATGCCCAGCATGCCTAGAGCACAGCCAACCCACAGCAGATATCTGCTGAATTAAATTCAACACTCCATATAATGAAAAGCACTAAAAAGTCACGGTTTTCTTGAGGTAAGACAGTCCTTAGGCCTGGAATTCTAATTTCCCCTTGTTCTAAGCATACTTTTATGCTCACCCTCTCTGAATCAAGTGTGTACTCCGAGCTGCTGCATTTTATCTTCTTTATCCTCCTAAGACAAATCCTTTTGAGTGTGGACTTGGAATCTGCAAGCATAAACCTGGGTTCAGGGTGATGATTTTTCTACCTGTGCACCTCCCTTCTGAGCCTCAGCTTCCTCATCTATATATAAAGATGAGAATACCTGCTGATTAAATTAGGTAATAAAGGTGAACTCTTGGGCAGCCCTAAGGGGATGTAGCTGTATTATCCATCTTCAGCAGGTCACAGGTACAGCCTCAACCCAGACATCCCATTGGTTCCCTCTATCTGTGGCCTGTTCCTTTTCCCTGTAAGAACCATCTCCCAGGTTGGGGAGCTGGGAAATATCCAGCTTTGTGTTTGAAAAAACTCTGGGAGGACCCAATTTTACAGCCAGCTTGGCCAGCCGCTCGGATAGAAGGGTGAGCAAGGAGCTAGTAGTCTGGGAAAGTGACTCCTAGAGTGGCAGATATGGTTGGAGCCCAGGTTTGTCCACTAACACAGTGTGACCTCCACAGGCTGCAACACATCTTGGGCCCAGTTGTCCCCTGTTGTACACAAAGCATTAAGAATGGCCTGAAACAACCCCAAGGCTCCTTCCACCTGGAAGGCTCCGGCTCCTGTTGGGGTGGGGGTCCGGTCACGTGTTGGCGAGAAGGGGGGTGCCGGTTGACGTGGCTCCGGGTCCAGCCTCCTCTGACGTCCTCACAGCCGTCCTCCCTCCCTCCGTCCCCGCCCCTCTGGCGGCGGGAGAGCTGCTGGCTCGCCCGGATCCCGGGAGCTGCCTGGAGGCGGGCCCGGCCCGGGGAAGGTGCGCGGCGGCGGGACCCAGCCCAGCTGGGGGAGCGGGCACCATGGTGCTGTCGGTGCCTGTGATCGCGCTGGGCGCCACGCTGGGCACGGCCACCAGCATCCTCGCGCTGTGCGGGGTCACCTGCTTGTGTCGGCACATGCACCCCAAGAAGGGGCTGCTGCCGCGGGACCAGGACCCCGACCCGGAGAAGGCGAAGCCCAGCTTGCTCCGGTCTGCGCAACAGGTGAGCAGGGGCGGCGCGCCGGCCCTCCAGGGGAGAGGTGGGGTCGCCGGGCAGCTGCAGAGGGGGAAATGGGGTGGGGGACGGTCGTGGATCTTTGTGCGACAAAGCTTGGCAGGGAGAGGGGACAGCAAACGCGCTGGAGGACAGGTCAAGGAGTCAAAAAGGCAGGGGGATGGGGGAGGCTGGGGGATGGGGGAGAGGTGAAGGAGAATTAGGAAGGGGGGGTAGGGGGGCTTGTGGGGACTGAGAGAAGAATGGGGGCCAGCAGCGAGAGCTAAAGGGAGGGGACAGGAAAGGGGACCTGGATAAGAATTAGGGCTGGGAAGGGTAAGAAGAGAGGGAGGCTGGGAGGGGAATCGCCAGGGTTAGGGAAGACCCTGAGAGGAACCGGAGAATGAGGAACTTGCAGAATGGGGACGAAGACTGGGGTCTGTGAGAGGGAGGGGGATGGTGGTTGTGGAGCCAGGGTAGGGCAAGCCCTGCCAGAGCTGAGAAGAGGTAATGCCTGGAAAGCCAGACGGGAGGTGGCTGGGGTCCCGCAGGAGCTGAGGAGCTAGAGGGGTCTGGAGAGCTGAATCCCCGAGGAGCCTGAAGGACTCTTCCCCACCCTCTAGCAGCTCTGAGCTCCTCAGAGGTCAGTCAGAGGGGGTTGCTATGGCCTCCCCCAAGATGATGTCTCTGCAGATGTCCCTGGAGACAGGAGGGCTTTTATCCCATGCATTTGCTCATGGCCAGAGCTCCTTTGTGCAGGAAATAGCCCGTGCTCCCATTGTAAAGAGCAACAGAAGGGGTCTGGGGAAGCGGTTTGGAAGGATTTCCCTGCATAGGCTGTGACCTCCAGGATGCATTTCCAAAGTGCAGAGTGCAGAATGTTCTCTGGAGAACCAGGAGGCAAAGAGTCTTGCTAGAGTGATTTGAAGAAGGATGGCCCTGGGGCAGGGGCATGACTTGAAGGACCTCCTAAAGACCCTCTAGATCCCTCTAGGTTCCAGGAGTGGCATTAAAATGCTGTGACTCCATCTTCCTTTTTCCAATCAATAATTCAAAAGCTCAGAGGACCCAGTTGTGTGGGGCCTGTGTCAGTCACTGTACAGTGAGAGTGGAAAGGAAATGGCTGCTGTCCTTGAGGCACTTATAATCCAAGAATAGTGACATTGACAGTGGCTAAATAGGAGCCGGCTGCACAGCAGAATGTGGGACTTGGGGCGATCTGGAAATGGGAATAGTGGGCTTTCCACTGGCCAGGGGTTGGGAGCCCTTCTCCAGAAGTCATGGCCAGCCGCCTCTCAACCTCCTTTCCTGCCCAACACACTTGAGGAACTACCACTCTTCTGCCTTTCAGTGACGTCTCTCCAGGCACCGTCCCCTCCCCTTCCCAGAGAGAACCACTGGGAAAGTAGTTGGTGTAAATGACCTCTAGGGTCTCTTCCAATGCCTTGTCTTATTGATGACCAGTAGCCCACAGAACAGCTGATCATCTGTTAAAGACAAACCAGGTTGTGTCTCTCCCCTGCCTCAAATCCTCCACAAGTTCTCACTGAGCTTGGAAGAGGTCATAGCAAACCATGACATAGCATACACTCTGTGCCAGGCGCACTGTTCAGAGTGCTTTACACCAATTAGTGCGTTTCTTGACCCAGTGAGGGAGCCATAGAATTATCCTAACTTAAAGATGAGGAAACTGAGGCTTAGAGAAGGTAACTGACTTGCCTAGAACTGCACAGCTAGAGAAGTTTTAGAGCCAGACTCCAGCTGAGCTTGTCTGATTCTGGAGGCCACGCTATTAGCCACTCCTCTCCACCTACTCACCTGCTTTGACATGGAAGGTGCCTGCCTCTCCAGCCAAGCTCAGGCCAGTTTCTTTCTTCATCAGCAGTCTTGGTCTCCCTGGATTTATGATTATTCTTTTAAAACACCAAGCCCTTTTCTGCCCCTTCATTTTTCTCTGGCCTTTCATATAAATGACTCCTTCTCATTCTTCAGGTCTTTTTCCATTTAAAGTCTTAGGGAGGATTTTGCCCACTGACACATGAAACAAAACACCCCCTTCCTGTTATCCTCTCCTATACTGTTCTTTCCAAATCCTTTTATGGCATTCTTTACACTAGGATGCAGTCTTTCATATTCACTTATTGGTGTAATATTTATTCCCAGCACCCACTCAGTGCCTGGAAACTAGTAGGTGTCCAATAAGAAATTGTGAATGAATAAAGTCATCTCATAGACCATCCAGTGAGGATTCTCATCTTCAAATATGGATGCACTCACCATGTCTTTGTAACTGAGTGTGAGCTCAGTAGGGGCACAGTAAATATTTGTTGATACATGATACCTGCCCATCCACATTCCCTTATCTGGTTTCCTCCGTGACAAAGATGTGGGCAACTTGGGGCTGAATTTATGGGTGTGAATGCGTTGAATCTGAGATCTCACAATGACTTGGTTGCCATTCTTCTCAGATTCATTCAGCCACTGGCCCAGATGCAGTAAATTGAGAAAAGACAACCAATTGACATTTCAAAGCAAGTAAAGAAGGTGGCGTTAGGGGTGGCAGATTACAGGAGGGTAATGTTCTTGGCACCTGTTGACGAGGAGGGCAAGAGTCAGGGAAGCTCTCTGAGGATGTTCCTTGAGGAAAGAAGATATGGGGGCTGGAAAATAGGGATCTAGATTACTTTAATCCCAACAGAGGTGTCCAAGGTCTAATAACCAGTGTCTCTGTAACTTGTAAGTTGTGGCTGCTGGAAAAATTCTTTGGGTTTGGAGGCCATTCCTAGAAATCTAATTTCTGACCCTGAATGGCTGGATGAAGTTGAAAGTTTGTAGTGATTTTGAAAAGAAATTGGGAGTTTTCCCAGGGGTTTTGTTTATTTTTTACATGGAGTCTGACTCCATCACCCAGGCTGGAGTGCAGTGGTGTGATCAAGGCTCACCGAAATCTCAACTTCCTGGGTTCAGGTGATCCTCCCACCTCAGCCTCCCATGTAGCTGGGAATACAGGCATTTGCCACCACGCCTGGCTAATTTTTTTGTACATTTTCTAGAGACAAGGTCTCACCATGTTGCCTAGGCTGGTCTCAAATTCCTGGGTTCAAGCAATTTGCCTGCCTCAGCCTCTCAAACTATTAGGGTTACAGGCGTGAAGCACTGTGCTTGGCCCCCGGGGGTTCTTATTCTGGGTCCACAAACCTCAGTCTGTAGATAGCATTAAAAGATTCATGGTCTTGGATAGGAAAAAAAATGACATCATTATTTTCACTTACCTCTAACTGAAACAGTATTTTCTGTAAGTAGAAATAGCAGCAAAAATCATAGTGTATCATCCATACCTGTGACTTTGTCCCCAAGGGAAATCACAGATACCTTGGTTGTACATTACAGCTGTTGCAGATGGTTCACATTAGATTTACGCTCATCTCTCATTCTAAATTATGGTACTTATTAAATATCCTGCTAGACTCTGTTATTTAATGAATTAATAAAGAAGCAAACATATAGCTACTTCACAATTTGGTTTTATTAGGCAGTCCTTTGCAGCCCCTTGTCTTTTATTTTCTGCTTTTTCCAGCAATTCAGAGGAAGTGTCCCTAGGCAGCCCTCGGCCATGCATTTCCTCTCATGCTTCCAGCTGGTTTCAAGTCACAGTTCTTTGCTTTTCTGAAATACACACTCTGGACCCTTTATCTTGCCTTCTTAGACAGTGCCTCACTCTCACTCATGTGCTACCCTTCCGGGCATGCAAGGAATTCAATTTTACTATGCCACCCACTCCTGGCCTGGCAGGTCACCTGGGACCTCTCTGTCATCAGCCTAGCTCTAGAGGCTTGATCATTAGGCAGTGACCTGTCAGCTTGAGCAGGGAGACAGAGCCGGGGGGCAAAGCGAGAATATTGGTTTCTCCTTCACCATTACTTCTGAATCTATTAGTGAGCAGCGGCCAAACCCATGGGTTCCTGCCTCTGAATTTCCTCATCACCCTTGTCCACACAGGCTGCCACTCAGCCCACTTCTGGGTCCTTTCATAGGAAGTCCTCCTTTCACCCAACCTAAAGAACTTGGGAGCAAGCAAGGAGAACTGCTCTTTTCCCCTTGCCCCATGGCTCAGTCCTGTACCCCTACCACTTGGCAGGCACACGCGTCCTGTTTTCAGGAAGCTTTCCTTTTCATGGCCTAGTTTTCTCTCAACATGGTGCCTACCTTGCTGTGCACTTACGTGAATCTTTTCAAATGCCAGAGAGGTCCCCTGGGTGACCCCAGTGCTGTCCCTTTGAAGCTAACATGTGGCCAAAGGCTTTATTGAAATTGCTTGGCCCTCAGCAGGAGTTCCCACACCTTTTTTTTTTTTTTTGAGACGGAGTCTCACTCTGTCGCCCAGGCTGGAGTACAGTGGCATGATCTCGGCTCACTGCAACCTTCACCTCCTGGGCTCAAGCGATTCTCCTGCCTCAGCCTCCTGAGCAGCTGAGATTATAGGTGTGCGCCACAATGCCTGGCAAATTTTTTGTATTTTTAGTAGAGGCGAGGCTTTGCCATGTTGGTTAGGCTGGTCTCAAATTCCTGAGCTCATGTAATTTGCCCACCTCGGCCTCCCAAAGTGCTGGGGTTACAGGTGTAAGCCACTGCGTCTCATCCCCAGGTCCCTTCTATCCATGTCCCCAGTCACCCACTGTCACATGTGACCAAACTCTACAATTCCATCCTCTTTCCAGCAGAGTCAGGATCACTGAAGTGGCTTTCAGTGGAACCCTAGTAGACTAGTTCTAAGGTTTTACAAAATAATATAAATAAGTGTTGACTTTCTTTCTTTTCTTTTCTTTTCTTTTCTTTCTTTCTTTCTTTCTTTCTTTCTTTCTTTCTTTCTTTCTTTCTTTCTTTCTTTCTTTCTTTCTTTCTTCCTTTCTTCCTTTCTTTCTTTTTTTTTCTTTTCTTTTTTTCTTTTTGAGACAGAGTCTTACTCTGTTGTCCAGAATGGAGTGCAATGGTGCAATCTCGGCTCACTG